GTATGTCTACCGAATGAAGTATAACTGTTGGTGTTTGAACATGGTTTTGTTAGACCAAACAAAATATTTTGGAGCCATGGTCTGCTTAAGGCGGTTCTCTAGGCTACGAATAGCAAGGGGACGTTGCTTTGAAGTGTTGACAAGAGGGCGTTATTTTTACCCGCGGTACTGAAACTTAGCCATATGCTGCAAACTCGTAATAACAGGATTTACTTTTGTTAATATATTAAAGTATTTATACAAATTTGATAAATGTTTTTATAAATTTAAATTTAAAAACAGTGCTTTCATCCCCTGAAATATGTCTCTAAAAAACACAAATTACATGAGAATTACAAAGGTAATGATTGAAAAATATTAATCTACCTTATCGTATAGACCAGCGTCATTTTTTCAACGTTACGCCAGAATGCACAAGAAAAAGTGCAGTCATTAAGGGGTACCTGCATTAGAGAGCATGGCCATACCTCTCACCGATTCTGATGTGACCATACTAGAATACCACGCTGCGCTGTCCTATTATTCGCGAGTCGACAACTCGCTACCCTCTTTTAAGCCGGTCGAAGCAAAAACAATATGGAGTAAGTTCCTTACCGAACTGAATTATTCTAGATATGACAAAGATTTAAACCGACACCTTTGGAGTTCGAAGCCAAAATTTTTGCCACTCTGTCAGTATTTCGGTTCCTTTTCTCTAAAGCTCGTTTAAGTACTTTTTCGCAATGGCAGTCCAAGCAAAATCCCACCACAGTTGCCATGGAGCTGAGACCAGGCTGCCACAGAATGAAGATATAAGTAGTCTCGGTTCCATACGAAGAGGCAGTTCTTAAACAATAATACATGTGACTTTACTACAAATGTGATCATAACGTGCGTGAAGGGTTTTGTAAGCCGGTAGAAGCAAGGAAGCGGTGCAACTATGCCTTGTAAATCCGGCGATAACAGCTGAGTGTTGTTCGCACTGGTGGTACTAAAAACTACCGGTACTGCAGTGAACCCAGAATACGGGAGATCAATATTTACTTCTTTCATATGGCAAACGAGAAGAACGGAGGAATGAACTTATAATGCTAATCGCAATTTGAATAACCTCTGCTATGTTTAAGGTGGGAAAGTAATTACCTTATTTAGTACAAACAACTGGAATGGACTTTCTCCCTCTACCCTAGAGCCCAAAGAAGCTTGTTTGGTCAATATATGCTCCACAGTAGGTTCCCTAAAACGATAAAATTCGAACGAACGTTTCGGTTTCAATCTCATACATCTTCCTCGTGATAAGGTTAAC